TATGTATGTATGTATGTATGTATGTATGTATGTATGTATGTATGTATATATATATAATCCAGTGTAAGGTAAACATTCTTTTAAAGATAAACTCATTTTCAATTAATGCACACATTTTCCAATGTAAGACGTGTAAAAAATGCTGTAAAAATTAGCGCCACTGTAGCACCACACTCACAGGCCCATATTTCCAGTTTTATGTAATAGGAAGCTGCAGTTACATTACATTAAAGAAAAAATGTATGCATTCAGTTCAATTCAGTTTATTTATATAGTGCCAAATCACAACAGAAGTTGTCTCAGGGCACCGCACAAAAACTTTTGCACACATACAAAAGCCAATAAATAAAGTTCTCTATCTAAGGAAGCCAGCAGTCTCGTTAAATCTTCACTTGGATATTAGACGATATTGCCATTAGAGCATTAAATTAAACTGATCATAAAGCCTATTCTATCTTATCTAATTATTCAATTCAATTCAGTTTCTTTATATAGCGCCAAGTCACAACAAAAGTCATCTCGGGACACTGAACAGAAACATTCATATATAAAATAAGTTGACAGAAATAAATCATATTTAAAAATAATAATTTAACATTATTTATCTGAGGAGCAGACTGCTTTGAGTTGAACTCTCATCTTGAACAATTATGAAGGAGACAGTGGAAAGGAAAAACTCCCTCATGATGAAGAAACCTTTGTCAGAACCAGGATCAGGACAAGAGGACCATCTGCTTCAACCGGCTGGGTTTGGTAGGAACAGATACACAATGGCAGGTCAAGAATCACGTGTTAAGATAGAAATAGTATCAAATGAAAACTAGTCAATTTTAATCCAACATTTTTCAGTCAGGTTATCTGGACAGTTTCTTTTTTTGTACTGAAACATTTCGCCTACAATCTGGAAGGCTTCATCAGTCAAGGAAACACACAACAAAACTGATTCTTCCCCCAACAGCTTACTCCAAAGTGGAACAAACCAGTTTTGTTGATGCTAAGATGCTCTCTTTGGTACGCCCCCTACTCCATTGCCGGCCCTCTTCCTTGTTGACAGTTGTGTCAAACTGGTTGAAAACCATCTAGCACCAACACAAATGGTTTGTTCCACTTTGGAGTAAGCTGTTGGGGGATAATCAGTTGTG